CAAACAGGCTAATGAATAGCTCGACACAACTCATACCTGGGCAGAGTCTAGACTTTCTTATATATATATGATATCTTATATATAGATATTCTATTCTTTGCATCTGCTGGGCATGGCAGGGTATGATATGACAGCTGTCATAGCCTACCCTGCTCACACAGTAAGTCTGTTTAAGTAATTAATTAATTAATTAATTTGTTTAAAAATAAATACTTTAAACACTAAAACAAAAAGGAAATAATAATAAATTGGCTTGGGAATATATAGGCCTATAATGTTCATGCAAGAACTGTCATTCTGACTGACAACCAGAGAACAACAGATATTAAATAGCCTACTGTTAGTTAGAGTTATATAATGTAGTCTTGTGTTTTATTAAAATTGATTATAGGCCTAATTGATATCTCAAAAGGATATGCACTTGTGCACGGCGTGAGCACTCACACTGCAATGCAAGATTTTCATAAAATATAATAACTTGCCATTTCGGTTTGTTTCTCACATAACCCTCAGTATACCTTCAGAATGCTTGGAATATACACCACGAGATGCATATGATTATTTTACGACAGATATGCATCCGCTTAAAAACAACAAACAAAACCTAAAGTCACCATTCTCTGCCATTAAATTGGCAAGTGCGAGCAGGACATTTTTGTGTTATTAAGTAATAAGCCTTTAGAACAGCATTAAGGTGAATATTCACTCTAATTCACACAGTTCCAATAAATTGCGATGGGTTAAATAAACTCAATAAGCAGACAGACTACAGTCAAGCGCAGACCAGTATTGAAGTGCACAGGAAATAAGCAGCAGTCATATTTAAAGCAGTTTAAATTAATATTGAGTACTGATTGACGGTCACTTGGATTTTTTTCCCCATCAAGGGGAAATAACTTAATACTCTGTCATTTATAGTCGTATAGTAAAATGTATATTTTTAATTGTGTAACGTTACGTTCAAAATAACTACAAAATCGACCCGACCAGGCTATAGTCCAAATATAAGTACCGGTACTTATTATTAAGTGTACCGTGGCGATTCGGAATAAGACATAAACGCGATTTGGAAGATGAACTCATGATGTACTAGCTCATTATATACATTTTGAACACAGAAAAAGTTACATAGTGCTGCTTTAATATGAAAATAAATACATTCAAAGTAATGTGTCATTGTTTTCAATCATTTGAAACTGATATGTCAACATCTCAAAAATGTGTTTTATCATATGGTTTCATTCATTTATACTGGTAACTACCAACAAGTATGGAACCTACATGTTTTTTATTCCTCCCCCTCAGATCATGTCAGCCGCACATGTGTGTCGTCCAAAAAATGATGACTGTGATTTGCCCGAGTCATGTACTGGAAAATCAACCTGGTGTCCTGAAGATGTCTTTGCAGTCAATGGAATCCCTTGCAAGAATGGTAAAGGCTATTGCTACAATGGCCAGTGCCCACAGAGAGAGGAGCAGTGCATTAAAACGTGGGGTCCAAGTGAGTACAATAATATATTGTTGCAACACAATAATAGTGAAAAATAATCAGTGTTAAGCCCATATGATTGTGCCTATTTTTTCTTTTTATTAAAATAAAAATAAAGCTGCTGTGGTGGCTCGAGAATCTTGCTACAACTACAACACAAGAGCAGAATACTTCGCCTACTGCAAACATAATGGCGATAAATATATTGGATGCCAAAGACAGTAGGTTTTTACATCAATCTGTCCATTCATTAATCTCTTCACATGTCATACTGCCCAATTACTATTTTTGTCCCGTCTGATCAAACACCAATCTTATCTGTCTGTCTTCAGAGATGTGATGTGTGGAAAACTGTTCTGTGAAAATGGCAATGCAAGTCCCAATTATGGACGGCTGGTAAAAGTCAAAGAATGTAAAGCCACATTCTACAGCGATCCTGAAAATGATTATGGCCAAGTCGACACTGGCACCAAATGTGGGGAAGGGATGGTAAGACTGGTCTCTAGATACACGCCAGTTATACACAAACTTCCTTGTAGTTTCATAACTATGAACTCCTTTAATCATCTCTAATGAAAGAAAGCTGAAAACATTGTAGGTTTGCTACAGTTGTGACATTCAAGTCATTTAAGCACGATGTGTTTGTTTTTTTCAGGTTTGTAACCAGAACGAGTGTGTTGACCTAGAGACGGCTTACAAAGCAACAAACTGCTCAGCCAAGTGCAAAGGCCATGCGGTATGACCAAAAATATCCCTTTATCGAACATTGACTTCTTTATTGTCTTCATAAAATGACAAAAAGTGCTTTATTTCAAAAGGTCATTGGTTTTTTGACTATTTCAGGTCTTTCACAAGTTACACATACATCAGAATTTGTAACTCGATTTTGAAGAATTAATGTAAGTGTATATTTTACAGGTTTGTGACCACAGAATGGAGTGCAGATGTCAACCTGGATGGCTGCCGCCAGATTGTGAAACACCAGCAGAAAGTGATGGTTTGTCTAAAGGTATACCACAGATATTGCCCTCAAAATAGCCTATTCTTTTAGTTTTGAGGATCATGAATTAGATTTTTTTTTTGCCTTTGCATTTCAAGGTGTGAAAATAGCCATTGCTGTGGTTGTCTGTGTCCTGATTGGGATACTTCTATTTGGACTGGCCGTCTTCTTTTACAAGCGCAGAAAGAGCACACCACATTCATTCCGGTAAGACTATAGGAAACCAACACTTAAACACTGGGGAAAGTCAATAAATGGAGTGTATTTAATACTGCTGTTTTCTCAATAGCCATCCAAGGCTGCAGAAAGTTCATGTAGTCGACATCCCTGACTACAGCCTTCAGTTGATATCAAATCAGAAGCCATCTCCGGTAACTTGCAGTCACATCATTTCATTTAACCACAGACATAATCTATTCCCAGTGAATGGTGAAAGTGTGATCAGGACTTTGTGATCTCTTCTTTATTCTTAGGCAATAAGGCCTACAGCACCTCCTCCACCTCCACCCTCACCCTCTTCAGTCCAATCCAGAGTTCTACATAATGACTTTATAAATGCACGGCAGGTAGCAAAGCTAACTATATAATGTGTAATGACTGATGTTCACATCAGGATTTAAAGGAATAGCTCAGCCCAAAATGAAAATTCTGTCATCATTTACTCACTCTCATGTTGTTTCAAACCAATTATGACTTACTTGCTTCTGCGGAATCCAAACGTTTAGCATTCGTGCTGCTCTTGAAAGTAGATGCAGTCCATGTGACTTGTGTAATATTCAACATCTACTGAAGAAGTGCAATATCGGTGTGAATGAAAAAAAAAATGGGTGTACAAACAATTTTCACTGAATTAAACTAAATGTGTACTGTTTTATTTAAAATGGAATTTATTGACAAATGTTTGCCTTAAAAATGTTGCTCAACAGCATTGGTCACCATTCACTGTATTATATTCTGCTATAAAAATGATTAGGAATAACTGAATGAATATGGGCAGAATTTTGGGTGTACTATGTATACCTTTATGCTCCCAGTCACTGAGCCTAAGAACATTTTGATAAAAAAGATTATATCTGACAAGTTTATAATTCTCCCCCTCATAGGCTCTTAGACCACCTCCTCCAAGGGTGTGATGTCTAGCACCTGTCAAACCTCAAGAAGTGGAACCATGCAGCAGATTGGAATGGTCAGTCACTCCAGAACCTGCAGAAGTGTGTTAGGAGACTGAGGCTTAGTAAACCCTTCAAGAAAAATCTAATGTCTGTGAAAATAAGCCACATGCCTAGCATAAATATGAGACTGACACATTGAGTTGTTCTTATAATTTGACTGAGTAAAAGATTGTCCTTGAGTTAAATAATGAATTTGAAGTCAGGTTTGTTTTTAACTGAAAATTATCTTTTTTTTTTTTAATTTAATTTAATTTGTACAGTCTGTTTCTGTGTAATAGAGCCTGCCTTATGATTTTTTATCAGCTATTTCTTCATTGCAATGCCAACCAAGGTGAAAACAACTGTTCTTTTTTAACATATATATTTTTTAAATTGTTACAATGCACTTTCAAGCGATATCAAACAAAAATGCTTAAAAAATTTTTTTTTTGTGTGTTTACCATTTAGTTTTGTATTTATGAAAACTTGTAAAATGCAATGTGAATGTATGAATGAAATATATTTTAATGTTGACTCACATTCAGGTGGCTGTTTTTAAAAGACAAAATATGACCAAACATGAGGTCCACAGTATTTCAGTTTTTATTTGTTGTCTTGACTGATACATCTACATAATATCAAGAATTTCTGGTGGCCTTGCATGACAAGCACTTGATAAAATGGTTGTTCAATTAAATCCCCATATTGTATTTTTAATGATGCTATAGTTGTGCATAAACATTTCTACACATTCCCACATCTGTGTTTCAGGGACCTCATTGAATCGCTGAACCTGTGAAGGCCTAATACTCAACATTTCATTGCACACAGAAACTTAATAGATTCAAACTTCCTCTTTCTTCAACTAAAGAAGTTCAACCCTTCAAGAAAAATCTAACGTCTGTGAAAATAAGCCACATGCCTAGCATAAATATGAGACTGACACATTGAGTTGTTCTTATAATTTGACTGAGTAAAAGATTGTCCTTGAGTTAAATAATGAATTTGAAGTCAGGTTTGTTTTTAACTGAAAATTATCTTTTTTTTTTTAAATTTAATTTAATTTGTACAGTCTGTTTCTGTGTAATAGAGCCTGCCTTATGATTTTTTATCAGCTATTTCTTCATTGCAATGCCAACCAAGGTGAAAACAACTGTTCTTTTTTAACATATATATTTTTTAAATTGTTACAATGCACTTTCAAGCGATATCAAACAAAAATGCTTAAAAAAATTTTTTTTTGTGTGTTTACCATTTAGTTTTGTATTTATGAAAACTTGTAAAATGCAATGTGAATGTATGAATGAAATATATTTTAATGTTGACTCACATTCAGGTGGCTGTTTTTAAAAGACAAAATATGACCAAACATGAGGTCCACAGTATTTCAGTTTTTATTTGTTGTCTTGACTGATACATCTACATAATATCAAGAATTTCTGGTGGCCTTGCATGACAAGCACTTGATAAAATGGTTGTTCAATTAAATCCCCATATTGTATTTTTAATGATGCTATAGTTGTGCATAAACATTTCTACACATTCCCACATCTGTGTTTCAGGGACCTCATTGAATCGCTGAACCTGTGAAGGCCTAATACTCAACATTTCATTGCACACAGAAACTTAATAGATTCAAACTTCCTCTTTCTTCAACTAAAGAAGTTCAGGTTGCCAGTACACCAAGACCAGCCCACACGCTGTTAAACCATTCAAGAAAAACTATACCTGATCCCAGATAAGCTGCTTAATCTCATCTCAGTACTTCCATTGGTATCATTTGAAATACATGCAAATAAATGTAGAAAATTTTCCCTTTGGAGTCCACAGACATACTGCACTGATTTGATCATGCAAAACACACACATACTTCAGGAAATGCTGTATGCCGGAAGGTCGCACTGCAATCACATATTGATTTCTCATAAAAGCTGAATTCATACACCTAAAGATGAGCATGACATATTAGTCATATTATTAGATTTGCATGCTTTTGGGATGAAAAAATTAACTCTTTTAAATCAATCTCGTGTGAAGAACTGGTTCTGCATTTAAAAAATAAAATAAACACACACACAAAAACATTTTACAAAATTAACTGATGTCTAAAATGTACATTTCAAATGCTTCCAGAAAATGGGGTGCGTTGCTCGTGCATAGCATCAGACATTTAACACCATCAAAAAATCAAAACCTGCTGCTCCTGTTAAAAAGAATAAAAACATGCATTAAAAGGCTTAATGCTCTTCCTCCAGTCTCTTAAAGTTCTATATCTGTATCTCAACAGTAGGTGGACACATACCACAATTTTCCCTAAACCTGTTAAAACAAGCAGCCATGTAAAAACCTTACCACAATACCTCACATAGTGTTACAGCTCAAACCACCAAGTCAGTTTGTGACACATTTATCAAGCTCAGCATGCTTTGTTAATGTCTCGAGCAAAAACTGGATGAAATCGATAGTCTGTGTACTCTGTACGAGCAGTCTCTCAGTGAAAGATGAATACTTTGCATTAAGCCTGGAGGACATTCTTTAGAGAGAATAGGACTTCCTGCTTTTTACGTGTTACGTATAGGTGTTCTCTATTTACAATGACTTGCATTTAGTGCAATATTCTTCAGACTGACCCCATTACCTCCTCATCATACCCTAAAATGGGGTTGGTTAGAGCTCTGGCAGCAAACTCATCACAGCACAAAAAAAGAGACTTTGGCTTTTGAGTCGATCAAAGCAACTTCACACGTCCCACATTGGCTGTTACACGTCTACATGAGCTTATAGGCATGCTAACAAATTTCACTGTATATATTAACAAATAAAACTGGTTTGTTGCGTGGCAATCTATCATCTTTTTGAAGAAACATCAATAAGATAAGTGTGGCAGACACGAAATGAGGAAAAGTAAGTCTTGTCTGAAAGTTCGCCCAATGATAGTTCTAAAGAGACTAAAATAACTTCCAGTACAGATGCAAACGTTAGATTGTGATTGTGACAGTGCTTTCAAAAGACATGCTTTGTTTTTGCTTTTTTCACTCATGCAAGTAGAATCAAGCAACTCCCATTTAAGATCAATGTTGTGGCTACTTACATGTGGTGTCATCTGGCTGTAATCGGACAAAAATGAATATAAATGCTAGTTTTTCCACGTAGAAATAGACATGTGGAACCCAAAGCAGCTATGTTCATTTAGTCTGAATCTTACTTGAAACTGAATATTATTAAACAGTTATATAAAATATGTTTCGATGAACATTCCCCTTAATTTTGGTTTGTCTTAATAAATCCCTTACAGACATTTATTGATAACATACATCAGTATATTCAAACCATCCCTTGCCAAATACATTGTGACATAAAATATTATAAAACTGGGATTAACTAGATCTTCTGATCTGTACACCATCTTGAACCCACATCTCTGTTCTCGAGTTACAAAACTGTAGTTGAAGTTTAAAAGTTGACACATTGTGACTGTATACCTGCTTTTTGCACACTTTCAAATGTTCACTCGTCTTTAAAATGTTGCTATCTAGTACATCTAATACATTTCATTTAATAAATAAAATCTCATGTTTGTACTTAGTTGTAAGTGATTTCTCTCTCTGTCTTGTGGAATGATTCCTCTCCACATCTCAGGCCCTCCTCTGCAGGATCCGGCAGTTGAGGGGTCTATCTTGTGGAGAACGTGGCAGAGAAAGAGAAAATGCTATGGAGCAGAGGAAGAGTGCAAAATCTCCCCTTACACATTCCCATCAGTGCCGTTTTTCTCGTTGGCAGCGTTAACTGTGGTACCGTCAGGTTGCTGGCCGTCCTTCCGAGGAGGCATCCGTTCGTTTATTCGGTCCAGGCCACGAGCTTCTTCGAAGTTGCGGATTTTCCGTGTAGGAGAGAAGCCTTGGATGGCTACCGGGGGGGAAAAAAAATTTAAATCAAGGAAAATGAGGTAGTTAGGAAAATGTGCATTAAAGGTTATTGATAACTTTCAGTGTTCAGTTTAAAAAAAAAAAAAGTAAAAAAATGAGACGATGATAAAGCTGTGCTAGCTTACAATATGCCATTTACTGAAATAAGTTAACCTTTGGGCATTTGCAGTGACCAAAAAGTCTATTCCTCGAATGATTTAAAGGGTTATTTCGCCCAAAAATGAAAATTAGGCTGTGTTTTACTCACCCCCGAGGCATCCTAGGTGTATATGACTTTCTTCTTTCAGACAAATCCAGTCGGAGTTATATTAAAAATTGTCGCTCTATCATTGCAGTCAGCGGGTGTTGCAGTGATTCAGTCCAAAAGAAGTGAAATTAAAAGTGTCACACGGCTTCGGGGGGTGAACAAAGGCCTCCTGTAGCGAATCAATGCGTTTTTGTAAGAAAAACATCCATATTCAAAACGTAATAATCACTTTAATCTAGCTTGCGCCAGCAGTTGTACACAGAAGCAGTTCCGGGCTGATGAGGTATGAGTTCAGCATTGCGCATGCGCTGGTGAGTCTCGTGAAAACCAACGTTTGTTAACAGGAGCAAAGGAAGCAAAGTTTCCTTACTTTAGCAAAGGAAAACCAGTCTCCTCTTGGCTTATATCGAAATCCTC